ATTATTAAAATACCGAGAGATACACTAATGCTGCGGTTCCCCGGGTTTCGCTTCCTCCTGAAGGCGCCGCAGCTGAGCGCACCGTGGGGTGGCAGAGAGGGATGGGTGTCCGTCCCGTCGTGTGTGTGTGTGTCGTGTCCCCCCCCCCACCTCCCATCGGGGGCAACAAGAGCCCCTGTGGCAACGATTTTGGGAGGAGGGGGGCGATTAGAGCTCCTGGGGCCGGTTGTACCCACCCCAACCCATTTGGACAAAGGGGGAGTTTGGGTGAAAACTCAGAGGGGTGGGGAAGATAAAGTCCTTTCCCCCCCAACACACACCCCCACATTCCCAGGGGCTTCAGCTCCCTCTCTTTTCATCATAGGGATGTTTTTGCTTGTGGAGAGGAGGGGTGGGGGCAGCCTTTCCTCTTTCTCCCCCCAAACATCTCTTCCTCTCCCGAAGAAGGGGGATGAAGAAGCCAAAAGCCCTACCTGTGCTTGACCGTGCTTTCGGTCGCGATTTACACCCGAAGCCGGTAGGAGATCCTCCTAAGAGGCTACTGGGGGGAAAAAGTCCAGAGCCATATTCTGGGACATACGGTGGGTAGGTAGTGATGGGGTGATGAGCGGAGGAGGTGGCACCTCCTAAAGAGGCCATGCTGCTCCGAGAGTGAGAGGACTCCAGCTTCATGGTGTCGGCCAGGGACACTTGGTATTTGATGCATTCCTTCTCGTCTTGCCGGGTGGAGCCGGTGGAACCGGGGGTGGAGATGGAGGGATCCGGGGACACATCTTTCGGAGGGGTGGGTGGGAAGGTGAAAAGGTGCGGGCTGGAGTGGCCGGCGGATAAAGTGGAAGAGGAAGCGGGTGGGTAGACGCTGAGGGGTCCCGGTGAGCTGTGATGGATGGAGGTCTTGGAGAAGGGGCTGAGGTTCCAAGGGGAAGCGCTGTGGTGGCTGCTCAGCGCCTTGCTCCCATCCAGCCAAGGCAGCGAACCGTGCAGCAACGGGGGGCGACACACCTGGCTCCCTGCTCGGAGAAAACACAGCGAAAACACCCGTTAAACCACCCCTAAAAACCCTTTGCCACCCTAACAACCCCCCCCCAGGGGGATGCCGGGCTGTATCCCCCCCTTCCCCTCCTTCTCAAAGGGCTCAACATGCCGGGGGGAGCAAGGAAAAATCCTTCTGATGCTTCTCATCCCCTTGAAAAAATTCAAATTTAAAAGCGGCGGTAAGGAGGAGATGGCATCTCGGATGCTGCTCCGGGTCGGGATTTCCCGAGCAGGGATGCCAGCCCTGGGACACGGAATTTGGTGAGCCCTTACATCCCTCTCTCCCTTCTCCAGACAATCCCACGCGAATTTTGAGGGAAAGATCCTGCGTGGAATTGCCAAACCCCGACTAGCAGAAATCATTTTTTATTATTATTATTTTTATTTTTCTTAGCTAGAAAATAATTCCCCGAACGCAGCCGTGGGCTATAAACCCTAGGAATATTCTGGCCAAACGAAGAAGCCCAGAAGATGCCCACAGACGTGATAATAACCTTTCCAACAGAGCTGCTGAACTTTGCAAACCGCCTAGTTTGTCTTTTTTTTTTTTTTTCCTTCCACGAAAAATGTTAGAGGGCTTTTTCGTGGCAATGTGGCACACGTAGAGTACCAACTGCCTCCAAAGACACTCTCCGTCCCCTTCTTATGACAAGAGACCCTTCATTTTTTATTTTAAAATACAGACCTGGACTTTTGGAAGAAAGAAAAAAAAAAAAAGACACAAAACCAACCCACTAGATTTATGCGGTCAAACCTTGTTTCTTTTGGTTGTGAATGTTCTTAAGGGATGGTACGGAATATTTTAAATTAATCGCTGCCCTTGCTAAAAATACATATATATGTGTATCTCCAAAGAGACAAATCTACCCAAATCTAGAGCAACTTGAGCAAATCGCCATAAGCTGAAAAACACAGTTATTCAACTGGAGGAGAGCAAGTTTGCCTTAACCTCTGTAGGTACCGTGATAGGTGTATAGAGAGGGCTAAATATACAGAAGGAGAGATGCAAACAACAGATCTATAGAGCCACAGATAGTTCAAGAGCTGGTGCAGCGTGGACACCTTATGTTTGCACGGGAGCTTGTGTGTGTGTGTGCGCGTCTAGAAAATCTCCAAAGCTGGTTTTCAGCGTACCAGGCATTTGTGAACAATACTGAAAGTAACTGCTCGAAAGGAAGGGAAGGTGGGTTATACGAATAGAAAGGGTCAAGATTCATTATCTTCTCCAGGAAGTAGCATAGTAAATAATATTCAGGCTAGATCAGAGAGACCGCATTTCCACTTTCTGCTGATATATTGGGAAAAAAAAAAAAAAAAAAAAGAAATGAGAAGAAAAGAAAAAAAGAAAGACAGGACAAAGGCTGCTGATCCTTAGAAATAATTGTTTTAAAGGGACTAATAGCAGAACAATGCAGTTACTGAGCGGAGCCTAATGCAGACTCGCACTCAACAAGTAGCTGAGGGCTGGGAGCAGCCCCCTCAACCCGGCTCGGCTCCATCTCCCCTCGCTCGTCCCACTTTCTCCTCCTTGATTTTGGGCTGATTTCCAGCGCTAACCTCGGGCTTTTTAGATTTCGCCACTACAGAGGTCACTGTCCGGCTTCACAAATCAGCATCTCCTTTTTTCCCTCCATTTAAAAAAAAAAAAATTATTTTTTTCTTTTCTCTGATTTTTATCTATAAGGGGAAACTCCAGCTATAAGTACTGGATGTCTCCGATGTCTTGACAAAAAAGATGCCACCAAAGCACTCATCCCTCCGCGGACCTGGGCCCCATCGGCCCCAGGTATTTCGCCTCCTCTCTAAGAGCTGTGACCCAGGAACAACATTCACATCGTGGATCGTTACCTTCCTGCGGGACCCCCAGGAAAACAACATCAGCTCCGATACCTGATTATACACCACGAGATATTTTTAATTTTTTTTTTTTTTTGCTCCCCTTTCTTTCTTATCATTAACACACGCCGTGATAAGGCCCTGGGTGCATGTGCAAAACTTTCGACCCGAGCCTAACAAGCTCACCAAGTGCGAATGAAATAGCCCAAGCGTGAGGACAAGCAGGGTCATTTTCACACCCCTGCTCTCCGGCTTTGCTTTTCTCCCCCCGGAGCAGCTTAACCGTGCAAAAAAAAAAAATACAAAAAAAAAAACACTAAAGGCAGTATGAAAACCCTAACTGTTAACCTAATTAAAGAGAGGGAGGGCGGCTAAAGCGAAAGAGAGAGGGAAAGAGGAAGAAAACAAGAGAAAGATGAAAGGGACAGAAAGAGAAAGAAGGAGAGCGAGAGAGGGGGGGAAAGGGAGGGAGAAGAGGGGAGAGAGATAAGAGGGGAGAGAAAGCGAGAAAAAGAAAGAACGAACGCGAGAAAGAAGTATAAAGAAAGATAGAAATAAAGAAAAAAAAAAAGGAAGAAAAGATGGAAAGAATGAAAGAGGAAGAGGGCAAGAAAGATTTAAAAAAGAAAAGAAAAAAGAAAAGAAATAGATAAAGAGGAAGGAAGCCTGAATTTTGATTTATTCCCAATAAGCCAACCCCAAAAATCCACCCGTGACGTAGTTTCCCCGCCGGCAGGAGAGGTGCCGGGGTCTGCCCGACGGCAGCGCGGAGCCACCGGGACCGAGAGCGGGGACCGAGACCGGGGACCTCCCCGTAGGAACCGGGGGGTGTCGTCGGGGGCCACTCACCGTGGTGGGCCGTGGGGTATCTCTGCACGGTGGCTCTGACGGAGTTGCCGTAATACGGAGGGACGGGGTTGCCTTGTCCGTCGATGTTAAAAAGTACATCCACTTCCTCGGCGAGAGGATACTGCGTGGGGTCCATGTAGGTATGGCCAAGAGTGGGGTGGTGGGAGTCCGGGTGCTGCCCATTGAGCACGGCCGGGTGGTGGTGGCTCACCCACCGCGGCTGGTCCGTGGAGACCTCCATCTTCCGCGCTCTCTTGCTCCGCCGCTGCTCTTCCTCCTCCTCCTCCTCCTCCTCAGCAAGGCGCGGAGGGTTTGAGATAGGAGGGGGAGACGGTGCTGGAGTTATGCAGAGGTGGGGAAGGGGGGTGGTGGTGGTGTGGAAAGTGCTCGGCGAGTTTGGGGATGTTTCTGGTTAGGTTTGGTTGAAAGTGGAAGGAGGGAGGGGGGGTTATGGTGATAAACGATCGATTCCAAAAAAAAAAAAAAAAAAAAAAAAAGGGGGGAAAAAAAAAAAAAAAAAAAAAAAAAAAAAAAAAAAAAAAAAAAAAACAAAGAA